CCTAGGGTGTCTCGATTGGAGCTCCTTGATCTTTTGCATGTCTGATCTGCTGATCACTGGTTTTCTCCCTTTGTTTTTTTTTTTATTCTTCAACTGGTTTTGGCTACTAGCAGTTTGGTTTTCAGCATTTCCTCCCTGCAATTTCCTGCATTTAATTCGTCATTGATGTGCAAACAAGAGTTCTAAAATGGAAGCTTATCACTATAAGATTATCTGAAATTGTTGAATAATGTTACATGACTTGTCATGATGATCAACAGGCTTGTGCTCATTACCAATTTGGACCACTCAGCATTTGTCTATCCATGAACTACTTTGATCGCTTTCTATCAGTTTTTGAATTGCCTGTAAGTCCAAAAATGAGCTGAGAAGATAATTCTTTGTTCTATAATCTTCTTATCTTGGTTCCTAACCGTGTTTATAATGGCTATTTTGGCTCTAATAGACAGGTAAGGCTTGGACTCTGCAACTGTTAGCTGTAGCTTGTTTATCATTAGCTGCCAAAATGGAGGAGACTAAGGTGCCACAGTCTGTTGATTTACAGGTCTTGTTAAATACATATATATTGATTCCAAATTATATCATGACCAATTTATTTTAATGAAATTTAGTACTAATCCTTCATTTTTCCTGACTGCCTTTATTCTGCGATGGTAGGTAGGAGATCCCAAGTTTGTATTTGAAGCTAAAACCATCCAAAGAATGGAGCTTCTGGTATTGAGTACATTGAAGTGGAGGTTGCAGGTTCTTACTCCTTGTTCATTCATTGATTACTTCGTGAGAAAAATCCCGGATGATCAGTTGAGCATTTCAATCTCTAAATCAGTCCAGATAATATTAAACACAATTAAAGGTGCCTTTTTTAAACAGTTTATATACAAATATTATGCCCTGTCTCGTGTTGTTTTTTGTTTAATGGTGGGAAATTGAATGCAGGTATTGATTTCTTGGAGTTCAGGCCATCTGAAATAGCTGCAGCTGTGGCGATTTTTGTTTCTGGAGAAATTCCAGCAGTGGACATTGGTGATCAGGACAAGTCTTATTTTGTGCACCTTGAGAAGGTATGGTAAAGCAAATTGGTGGGGCAATTTGAATAATTTGATCTTGGTTTGTTTACCAACTTGAATTGGGTTCTTTTTTTTTTTTTTTTTTTTTGGGTATTCTCGCAGGGGAGAGTGATGAAATGTGTGGAATTGATCAAAGACTTGACATTGATAACTGGGTCTGGTTCGGCTTCTTCATCATCCATCATCCCACAGAGCCCAGATGGAGTGCTTGATGCAGCTACTTGTCTGAGCTATAAAAGTGATGAGATCACAGCCGTTGGATCATTTACAACAAATTCTTCTTCACATAATAATAATAACAACAACAGTTCAGACATTAAGAGGAGGAAACCAGAGAAGAAGTGATGACTCATGGGATATGAATCCTTCTTCTTCTTAACAGTTTACTCAATATACAAGTCACTCCAGTGACCAATCAATTTGGTTGAATGGCAATTTTGGTGCGGTGATATCTGGAAGAAGCTTCTTCACAGATTATACACAGAGAAATTTGAATGAATACATTTTTTTAAGGTGAAAAATATATCCAAGAGGGTAGTTTCATGCTTCTAGCATGAAGAGCCTGCAAAACAAAAAAAAAAAAAAAAAATCACCCACCAGAATTTTTTTTGTTTTTATAACTAAAAAATATGCCCAACTGGCAACAGTCACATATATCAGCTCTGCATAGTGTTGTTGGTGGTACATGTAGAATTTTCTGGAGTAGGTTTTTTTTTTTTTTTTCTTGGGGTAAGCGAAGAACATATGCAGAGTGAAATATATTTCTTGAGAAAAAAAAGAAAAAGAAAGCTCATTCCCATCTCTAGTTTCATATATAATTTCTACAGCGTCCGTTGAAACGACGCCGTATCTCCGCTACAGTTGAAACGATGTCGTAGAGAAAAACATCGGGATTGAAGAGGGATGAGGGGGGGGACCCACAAGAGGTTTTGTTTTGACTGGGCGGCCGGTCAACATCTTGTGTTTAGTCAGTCAGCGTATGATAAGAAAAAAGTTTCTCTGATCTTGAGAAACGTTGGGAATCCACAGTTCAGAACTTACGGGCATGTTCTACCCTTTCCTCTTTTTATTTTATTTATTTATTTTCTCTTACTTTTAATATTTTAAAAATTAATTAATTATGTATGTTATATTGATACCCTCTTAATTGCATGATAAGCTGCGAATCATAATATAAAATGAGAATACACACGAGACTACAGTCTAATTTGAACTTATAATCTCTTATAAAAAAATAATTATATATTTTAAATCATTCAATTAAGCAATGAAATTAAATTTTATTATTAATAATTGCATTGTATTTATAAGCAAAACATAAATTTTGTTTTTTTACCACTAAATAATATTCACAAGCATGAAGATTAAGTGAGGATAAAAGAAAAGAAAATTAATTTGTACCAATTGGGTTAATCTTAATTAACTTGTTGGATTATGATCAAATTTGTAATAGATTTGTTTTAAATTTTGTATTGGATTTAACCCAATTAAGTGAAACATTAACAAAAAGCAATTCAAATTAATTAAGTAAATGTTGGGTATGGAAATTAATTTTGTCCAAAATGTCAATGAATTTAAAAAAAAAGAGAAATAGGGTAAAAAAAAAAAAAAGAATTTATTGAACAAGAAATCGACATGGGACAATTCCCATATATATATATATATGTATATATAAATTTGGGAGTTAATTATACTAATGGAAGTATGAGTAATTTGTAACTCTAGCTTGGTTTGGTTGAAAATGTTAGAACAAAGTAGAGATTTACCATATGAGAAAAATATATTCCATATAAGAAGCATGTATTGTAAACTACGAAAAATTGGGTGACTGCAAAATTTATTAAAAGCATAAAAATTATGAAAAAAAATGATGTAAAAGTACTAAATATTAATTTTTTTTAAAAAAATAGAATTTAAATTCACTATAAAACACATATATAAATTACAATGTATTTATATAATTTCCAAATTGTATCATTTCCAAGAAGCATACAATGATGGAGTTAAAATTTTGAATAAATTTTGTTTGTGTTGAAGTTTTTCAAAATCTCTTGCATGGATTATATTTGTTCGTTTAATTCTAATTAGGAAGAGAGGAAAAAGAAAAGGGATTTTTTAAATCTTCCATCTTCACCAATTTCAGTGCACTGAAAGTATGGGAGAAGCTGGTTGGTAAACAGAAAGGACGATAATAAGAGGAAGGATGACGAGCTGCCTGGTCTGAAACTAGTAGCAGAGACATTCAATTATTATAAGCTCCATAGGGTTTTATACATGTACATTATATATGTATATATATGTATATATAGTCTGTTGCAGAAGATTTAATTTCATATAGAAAATAACTCTAATGGCATGTGCTTGATGGCAGAGTTTGATAAGGAAAATACAAAAAGCAACAGCCCAAGCAAAAACCCAGAAAAAATGACTCGTTTTTTTGGGATTCTCCTCTGTCTGTCTCTTTAATAAATTTATATATTTTTTACCCATCCAATGAATGCAGCCTTTCACCATTAATGAAGCTTTAGAAAGCACAAAGAGATTTTTTTTAAAAAAAGAGACAGTAAAATAGCTTTTACTGATTAAACAACAGCTAAGCATGGTGAATTTGATTAATGTTATGCCATTACTCGTAGTTGACTGACTCTGTCTACTGTAAGGATCCCAATAAGAGAATATATATATGTATATATATATATATGTCTATGCATAATGCATGACATATGAACAGGAACCCATAAGAATAAGTAAGCAGACCATTGTCTTGATTATTGAATCTGTAAAAAACTAATATATACATTAACACATATTTGTTTTTAATACTAAATTCATCTAATAATAAATTATTGACTAAAATAATGACAAAATTAAATAAAACAAAATTATGAGATAGGAGATGCTTGAAAGTAGCTGGAGGTATCATAAAAGTTCATATATATATATATGTATGTATATTATGTTGGTAGTGTATATATAGGTTAATTTTCCTAAATTTTATAGAATATTTTATTTTATTTTTTTCTCACATTGGTTTTGTATATTCAAAATTTTACTCCAAAGTGCTATTCACAACAATTCAAGGGGAATGATTATAGTAGAAAACATGTCTTTGCCAACATATATAATTAGTCTTTTTTTTTTTTTTTTGGGTATGTATGTATTCATATATTTGCTTGTATATGTATGCATATGGTCAGAATTTCTGTAATGAAAATATTGGTTTGTCAGCATCTTGATCAGCTTTGCAGCGTGAAGTGAGCGTATATAAGCAACGCTTTGTTTTTATGGTTTTAGTTCTCCACTTTTTCATGTGCATATGTTTGTTTTGTTGGTGAGTGGGGACCTAATGAGCCATGGATTGGTCACTGCCAACTGCTAAACTGGCTTGTGTTGGTGAAGGGTTTTAAAGACTGACTACATATATATATATATATATATATATATATATAAATACATACATATATATATAGATACACAAGTACAGCTCCCTGATCATTCTCACTCAAGGGTGACCATTCGTGATTGTAGCTTAAAAGCCTACAGGATTTCCAAAAAATAATAAGAACATATCTTGGTTGAGTCTATTTTTATTTTAAAAACTAATACAACTTACTACATATACAAACTATATAAATTCTTACACTATCGTCACATCGTAGAAATAAAATCATCGTTTCAACTAACAAAGCTAAAAATAAATAGCATTTATTGCTCACTCAGTAATCAATGATTCTAAAGTCTTTTTACTAAAAACATTATTACTCAGATTATTATTTATGTGTTTTTAAAATTATGTTGAAATTTCAGCACGTGAATTGAATACAATTAAATCAACCAGGCAGTAAATAGTAAAAGCCAATACAACAGAAGTGTGCAATTTCACCTACTAGATGTTAGAGACTCCTAAAATTTTCAAATAAGTAAAACACAAATCGAATCGGTGATAGTCAGAAGGCTGTAATTTTTAAATTATAATAATTCTGAGTTGAACAAAGATGATACAAATGTATAGTTTGAAACAATGAATTCGGGATCCTTATGCTTGGCTTGGATCTTGCAAAAATTTATTATCTCTATTGACTATAACTATATATACCCTTGTTGGCATAGAAATGCTATACAGTAAAAAAGGTTACAAGTTTGATCTGGTATTATTTTTAAAACTGCCTCTATAATGAGCTAGGCCTAAAATGGGAAGCTTCTCTCTGAAGATACATTTCGGACTCATTTCGCATAAATTAGAAGGCCCTGATATAATTAGATGAAGTCCGGCTGACCTGTTGAAGTTAAGCAACGATGCCACATACGGCTGTTAGGATCCACAGACTTCGGATACGAAATAACTTCAGGAATGGGGAAGTAGACATAGTGAGTGTTGCATATGCCAACTGTAATACCGCTGTATCCGGCAAAAGCACCATGAACCTGTCAAGACCATGCACCCATATCAAAATATATTTTACAAGTCTTTCTTTTACAAAATGTAATTGTTGCAAATGCACTTTGAGAGAACGGAGCACCGAGACAATCCCCCAATTATAACTCATGATTCAATTTTGACAAACCACTATGTTCAAGCCTGAGGCTCAGGGACTGCAGAGAAAACATCTCGGTAAAACTTTAACAGAAAGGTTATACCTTACATGCTAATCAGTCATAAAATACTAACTAAGAGAAGGCCCAAGTTTCTCTTATCAAGGAAACACGCAAACAAGCTCCAATGAGACTAATGAATAGGGCAGCAGCTGTTTACAAGGAGCTGAACCCATTTACCAACCTACTTCCCCATAATGACACAATTTCTGTGGGGATGACGTCCTACCACATGTGCTCTTCTGGATGCTCTGTATTAGTTGTCTTAAAGTATTTTTTTCCAAACATATGAATTTCAGTCTGAAAGTAGCCAAGTTATCCTAATTTAAGCAAGTTCAATAGCAACATTCAGGGTATGGGAGGCAAAACCAAAAACAAACCCGCACAGAGGAGAGAGAGAGAGAGAGAGAGAGAGAGAGAGAGAGAGAGAGAGAGAGAGAGAGAGAGAGAGAGAGAGAGAGAGAGAGAGAGAGAGAGAGTCACAGCATTTTGTCCCAGAACAGTGCATAGAATTCCATCTGATGCATTTGCACGACAAGCGCGGATCATGTATGTGGGATCAATATACTTCACATCAGCTGGAACACCTATTTCCTTGAAACATTTCTTTGTCTGGCAAGAATACAGTAGATTAACATAAGTATGTAATAATTACTTCAATAACTCGTTCAGAGGTCAGAATCTGAAATATATTGAGTTCTTCTACCAGAATAGCATTTCCATACACTTAGATGGATTCATTCCATGACCTAATTTGGAAGAGGGCCGCAAAAAAGTTATTAACATAACAATGAGAATCATAAAACACGACTTATTACTCATCTTCTAGCTGCATTAATGGCCTTAAACTTGCTTAAAATTTTCTTTACAAAGTAATCTTAGATTGAAACCTTTCACATCCTCAAAAGAAAAAAAAGTTTGAAACTTTCCTACCAAAGCTACCACTCACTAGTGTTGAATCTTCACAATAGCTTTCTGGCACAAATAGTAATATCACAATCATTCTAGAAACTATACATGGGCTAACTAATTGATGAATTCACTCAGTTCGAAACATCAAAGTGATTCTGCAAGGCAGCTTTATGATAACCAGTGCCAAATTCTTGAGGACTCAGACAATGTACAAGCATTCTGATTAGAAAACAACTAAGCTGTTTTTCAGTTCATATCTATACTTACTTATCCAGCCAATTAGCATACAAGACAAGCAACATGCTAAGAATGTTAGGTATTGACGCATGAGATCATGAGGTGAACAATGCATAATTAATTCATAAACCTGGCTACATATTTGGAACAATGGCAAGGACGCATTTATGTAGTACTTACACAATCTTTTCCTTACTTAAAGGATGAAAGAAGAGATCATAGATTTCTTCATGGAAACTATAACAGCATAAAAAGGCCATAACTAACCTCTTGTTGAATGTGTACACCAATATCTCCAAGCACCATGTTTCCTGATGCATCAGTAGCATTAGTTTTCTTCAGGAAATTCTGCATCAAAAGGCAAGAAAAGGAGCATTTAAACTTTAGTACTTCCTCGGTGCTATAGTTTCTCAATTTTGGAAGACCTAACCAATGAACTCTGACTCTAGAAAGGAAAAAGAGATGGCCATGACAATTTAGGGAAATCCCACAGACTTGACAAGGGTTAATGAGAGGTTTGAAATTGATTTTGAGATATGTGCAAGAATAGCTTCTTGCTAAGAATGCCAAGTAAAAGAGAGAGAGAAAGAGAGAAAGATCAGAGAATTGAAAATACAATCAACCACCACAAGTGCTACTTATCGACCTAAGAGAAGTCCCACCCAAGAGTTAACTAACTAACTCAATGGAAGTCATGAATCTTAATTTTCGTTCTCTTTGCAAAGCAGAGTAACAGACGCTCCAGAAATGGGAAGCTGGGACGTAACATAAACAAGTCAATTTGAAAGAAGGGAAAATTATGGAAAAATGTATGTGATAACTAACCTGTCCAGCTCCCTCTGCTACACAGACTACAGCTGATCCCTTTGTTTCAATTAGGTATTTCAGATGATTTAATACACCATGAGCGCCATGTAAATGGAAAGGTACCTTCAAAGAGCATAGATTTGACTGTATTAGTATCGACTTGATTAAAAAATATATTAATAAGAAAAGTGGGTAAAAATACCTCTGGAATCAAACAAATATCAACTTGTCCACTTGCTAGAGATGCTTGCATGGCTATGAATCCACTGCTACGACCCATCAATTTCACAATGCCAATACCATGGTAAGCACTGTGTGCCTGTGGCAAGATTAAAACAATCAATAAATAAATACATAATCAGCTTAAAATGTAAATAGAAATAGAACGAAGAAATTTAACATTTATATAGAACAGAAGTACAGCATAGTATTAGGTTGCATGTCAATAAATGTTATATGACTGCTAAGAAGTTAATGTGTACCTCAATATATGCAGAATTTATTGCTCGCTGTGCTTCTTCAACAGCAGTGTCAAAACCGAAAGTTTTATCCATCAACAAAATATCATTATCAATTGTTTTTGGCACGCCAACAACAGCTACTTTCATCCTCCTTTTACGACACTAAGATGTTAATACAGAAAATTGATTAATCAGTGTGTACGCAAAATAAAGGCCCTATAAGGGCATGGAGAACAGTTCATATCTGTGTATAATTCATATAGAAGTTAGAAATGAAGGGAAAGCATCATGGAAATAAATGAACATCTATGGTGAACTGAAATATTTTCCAACAGAAAGCTTCTCCAAAATCAGATTTTAACTACAAACCCCAAAATTTTGAGAAATTGATTCATAAATAACAGGGAAGAAGACATTGGCAAACTATACAATATCACATGGTTCATCATGTTGGTGCAAGGTATCAAGATTAACAACCTCATTGTGTATTGCGTTGGCACCAGCGTGTGTACCATTCCCACCCAAAACAAAAAGCATGTTGATTCCCCTTTCCTGAGTCAAGAAGCAAATTTTAGTGTCAGAAACAGTTCAATGCTTTGGACTATGGAAAAACTATGAAGTAACGTGTGTTAGTGAAAGATTGAAAGAAACCTTCATGCTGTCAACAATTTCACTGACAGTGGGTCCTCCACGTGAAACTCCTAACAAACTTCCACCGGAAAGATGAACATTCTGCACAACTTTTCTCGATAGCTGACCCAAAAAAGAAAACAAATCCAAACAAATTAATGTGGAATCATCAAACATACTCTTACAAAGAGAGAAGAAATGTTTGCTTAGCTTAGCCTTATCAATAATAGTGAACTTTGAGAAATTAGTTGATCTTTACCGGCATTTCAGCTAAGTCCTTATCAGAAAATCCACGATAACCAAAAGGAATCCCGACAATGTTTTTCACTCCATATATTTCAAGTGTAATGACAATCTGCCAAAGAATATGGATTAGGGTGAATATAGAAATTGCTATTTATCATATAAAACATGATATATTATTGGATCAAATATGGACCAAAATTACTGCCATTAAAATTGATACTTAAATGTGTTACTAACCTGTCTGATGACATCATTTAAACCAGGACATAGCCCACCACAAGTAACAATTGCTGCCTTGACTTCTTCTGGTTTGAAATATATTTTTTCCCGAGGACCAGCTCGATGAACCCTGTAAACAACTTGTTACCATATAACTCATAATATTTTGTATCACTGCATTAGTGAATAACATATATGACAGACACAAAATCATATCCAAATTCAAATGATCCTAACATATAAATGATATTCGATCTAATGTTGTCACTCTAGCCAATGGACCAAAACAAATTTGCACAATAGATTGAAAGTTAACACATATATTTACCATTGTTCAACCCAAGTACAATCAGGATCAATGCACTCAGCGCCAGCAGAGGTAGGTGACGAATAACGTATAACCTAAAACATTTGAAAAAGAGAAAACATTTGAGTAACATATCACGCTTTTGTTCCCGTGGAGAACTTAGTAGTAATCAAAGTCCAAGACTCCACATGTCACTGATTATGTAAACAAAGATCCTTGGCGACCGCTTTTTCTCTCAGATAAAAATTGCAAGTAACTAAAACTCTCCACCAATTGTAAAAACAAAGATTCCTCTGTCAATGAAGATAGTGAAATAAAAAGTTTCCATAATTACCAGGATTAGAGAAAAAAGAGATGGACGCCATCTTGAAGCTGGCTTACTAAAATCTGATATGACAAGATCAAAAATAAGAAAGGAAATATACCTTGAGGAGCACCCGATCATTATTATTTATGTACCCATGCCACTCTTCATCAGATGGATAACCACCTGCAAAATCTTCTGATACCGGAGTCCTGCCATGGAAAAACATAGTTGATTCTCTCAAAATAACGGAAAGAAAACCAAACCACGGAGAGAAAAAGCACGCAAATTTCAAGCTAAGTACACTTGACGGCAAACTTAAGGTGGGGGAGAAGTCAGTGCTCAAGTACATTCTGATCAACTCAACATTCAAAAGGAGAAGCAAATACGAGAGATTTCTATATTTATTATCCTCAACTTATTAAGAAGTCAAATATCCGAAGAAGTAGAGGAAAAGAAATCCTAAGAGCGAACTCAAGCATAACCGGGAAAAACAGCGGAAAGACATTCGTATTCAACTTAAAAACTCAAATACACACTCTAAAACGAGCTCTAACAACAATTTACAGAAAATCATCAAACAAGCATTCTTACTCTTCTCTCTAAACACGAATACTCACACAGCAACAATGACAAAGATACTGTATGAGAGAGAAAGAGAGAGCCGATACCTCATCTTAAGACAGAACGTCGAACGGAAAGCCTCGGCGTCAGGGAAGATATCGGTGAGATGAGGAATGTTAAACCGCTCCTCGAAATCTCTCTGGAACTTAAATTTCCAATCAGGATCACTGAAATCAATCGGTGCGGAGGAGTTCTTCCTCTGCTGCGCCTGCGCCACAACAACTAATCTCCTCCTCGGATTCGACGCCGATCCCGAGGCAGGAACGATCCGAGAATGGAATCCATGAGAGGAAGGAAGGATAAAATTCCGGCGAGTTAGAGCGACCTGAGGGCCGATGACATGAGAGAGAGCTTCCATGAAACGGAGGTTCCTATGATGAAGAGTTGTAGTTTGGAGAATGCGAGAGTAAAAACTGAGAAGGTGGTTGTTGAGGTAGAGAGAATCAAAAGTGGAGAGAGTTGGGTTTTATTTGAGAGAAACAAGACAGAGAGGAAGACTAAAAAGAAGAAAACGGCAAGGGATGCTGCCGTTTGACGTAGATTGAGTTGACTCAGTGGTTAATCA